CACAGCGCAGCAGGACCTTGTGACAGCCACTGTCACCTCCTGTACATCTCCTGTGCTCTTTCACTACACAAAAGGGTAAGACTACATACATTTGCARTGAAACTTGTTCTGCTCTTAACACATTCTCACGATGCAATTCCACCCAGGGACAGATGGATAATATTGTTAATTCAGCCTGATGGGATGGTCCTGTTAGCCCTGCCTTGGCCACAGGCTGTGGCCATTTCTCTTGTGCCTCCCCTGCATCACAGGTGATCATTTCCTTTTGTCATTAGCAACTCTGGGGAACTAACCTGTCATGAAATGACTCTTTTTTTCTAAAACTGAGCTCCTCTGCCCCCTTGGCCCCCAAAGCATCCCACTGTAGGTCACTGCAGGATCACTCAAGACACGGTGCAAGCAGAAATGAGGGAGGATTCACAGGATGGAAAGTTTAACCTTTTGTCATTAAAGCTGCACTGAAAGTTATGCTATTAGACTCTACTTCAGGGATTCTAAAGTAAACCCAGTCACCAAAACCATGTGTGCTTAAAACCAGAATTCTTTAATACAGAACCTTTTTGTTATCTAATTTCTACCCCAGCCTGACAGGTTGCTGGTACAACAGGAGCACTAGGGAGCAGCCAAAGAGAGGCAGGTGGAGAAACCCACTAACACATCAGGGAAACCATACACTTGGTCWCACAGCAAAGCCTTGGTAGATAGCTCACAGACTCAAGAAAATGTTGGTTTCCACTTACTCAGGGTGAGAACTGAGCATTCCTGTAGCTGTGGAATCAGTCCTYCCTCCAAATTAAACAACTCTTTCCCAGTTCAACCCAGAGTCAGCAAAAAGTGAGAGAAAAAGATTTTTTAAAGCTTCAGTGCAGGGAACCTTTTTGTCATATATGACACACTTGTCATATATTCGAAGGTGAGAGTGACAGGGTGGGTAGGAGATTCAAAGTCCATGGCTCTGCTAGCGATTTTATAGATGAATTTGCAGCACAGCACTTTTATTCTTTCAATACTCAAACATACTCCAGGCATTGCCTAGGTGCTTGGCTTTGTATGTTTTTTTTKAGTCATATATATTTTATTTTTAAAGAAAAGCAGAGGGGAGGAAAAGAAAAACAGGTGTCACCTACAAGTGATGAAAGATTGAGAGGGAGGTAGCTCCAGAGACAGCCAGACCCATGCACAGACTCCAGCATATGGTAACATTTTTCCAGAGGTGTCACTACAAGCAAACAACTGCAAATGGAGTTTATCCACCATCAATTTCAGCTATATAACATTTACCCACTTCTTAGAGATACCAGACAGGTGAGTAATTTACCACTGCACCACTGCACCTCTCTTCAGTCACTGGGTAGCCACTTACATGAGTAGAAATTGTCCAGCTCTAATTTCAGGAAAGTCTTTTTCATTTCCTTCACATAGAGTTCTACCACATTAACTACATGGAGCTTAGATGACATGAGAGGTGGAACTCTTCCAAAATACATTTCGGTTCCTGTCAGAAAGTATTGCGTGCCTTTGTGCAGGAAATTATAAAATAGAAAATAAACATGTAAATATACCATTTCAACACATCCTCTACATCAAAGCGGACCTGATGGTTTTAATTTCAGCTTTTTGAGGTTTTGCTTTTATAAGTTGCTGAATTTATTTTTTAGCTCCTGTTTATGAAAAGAACTTTAAAAGAGTTATAAATTACATTTATCAAATGAAGAAAAACTACACCTATAAAGTTCTCAGAAAAAAGGAAATAATGTGAACCATGTATGTGCACTTGTGCGAGGACACACACACACAAACTTATGTATTTTTAAGTTAGTGACTGCTGAACCACAGACCACATGCAGAAGAGTAAAAACCACCCATAACCAGATGTGCCACTGTAAAACCCATATTTTAGGATATATTCTATGAAATCCTCAGTGTGCAGAAAGAGATAAGTTCCCACACTATTAATATCAGTGATATGAATTCCTAGAAAGWCTGACTACCTTCACACACCTAAAAATAATCCAAGCTCCAACTGGGAGGTACAGCCCTTGTGAAATAGGAAGGGGGTTTACCAGAGTGAAAACACAGGATTTTGAAAACCATCCAACTTAACACCGACGTGAGAACAGCAGCGAGACGTCACTTCAAACCTTCCGAGAGCCAAAGGGCTGCAGAAGGAATTCCACCCTTTCCCACAGAGTGATTACATGAGTGCTGCACCTCGGCTGAGCATGTCAGTGCATGGCTTGCAGGGCCATGCAGAGCCACCACTTGTTTCACTGGCAAACAGTGGCCTCGGGATATGCTTGAATTTTCCTGTGGCAGGAAAGCGTAGCACTGGGCTAGTGAAGCAAAATGCCTCAGCTCTCTGCTCTAGTTGATAGGAAACCTCAATTCAAAAGGTTTCCTTCTAGCTATAAAAACAAAGCAAAGCTGTTTCCAGGGAATGAAGAAAAAGTCATTACCAAAGTCCCTATCCAGCTACAAATAGAGTATATGAGACCAAACAGCTTTTTACCTCAGAATATCTCTCACTGATCTAGTAGAGCAAAGTTTGTTGATATTCAGGGTTACAAACCCATCTGTTTACTCAGGCTTTTGTCTGTCAGCATAGTTTGAAGAGGTCACTTTGAGAAATCAATTCTTTTTCCTGGGGGTTTCTTCAGAGCYACCACAATTTGTTATTGCGTCTGTTTAGAGGCTTTAATTTGTGGTTTTCAAGATTGCATAACTGCACAGAGAGGTGGTGAGAGGCCCACATGAATAGTTCAAAATAAGTTTGACAATATAGTAAATATCTGCTCAGTAATTTTCCCTGGACTGAGCACCATGGAATGCCAAAGAAGTTATTAATCAGGCTAGCGGATGAACGTGGCTTTATGAGGACTTGGAGCATAGGTTTATCCTTCAGATGGTAAAATGCTGAATTACCTTGTTGTTGACTCTAACTAAAGACCATGCATCAGGGCACCGCAAACCAGGCATCTGATTAGATTGCTCTAAACCAGACTATTCAGAACCAGGAAACAAWATAAAATGAGATTTTAATTTTGCCTTTTATTTAGAGTTCTTGTCATAAGTTACATAAAGATGAAACAAGCTGCCCAGCCTCCCATGAGGAAGCTCAGCATTCATTTTTCTATTTCGCAGATGTTAGATGGGAGGCACGGACATGCACAGTCATTTTTGGAGATGCACGAACTGCATCTGGGGGAATTGCAGGTCCTTGGGGCCTTTGGGAATCTGCAGCAAGAGACCCGGCATTGGCCACAGGCAAAAATGAGGCACTCGGGACCCGCAGGCACATTGGGTAGTGTGTCCTGAAGTCTGTGTGACAGGCACCTGGGCGAGTGGCAGCTGTGGGAGCAGCTCAGGGATGCATAAGCCACATTTGCATAGCAGAGGGCAGTGTTCAGCATTTTGGACTGTAATTGTCTCTTAATGAGGAAGCTGGTGAGGAAACGATGTGCACACTGCAAGCTGGGAACCCTGCAACAATGGAGTACCAAAGTTCTGAGCAGAGGCACCTAACCATGTTCAAGCTCTGTACTTCTGTGACAGGGTCTCCATCTAGTTCAGCAGGAAGGAATTTACAGGCCATAAACTCCTTCTGATGGCCGAAGACTAAAGGTGGCCAGTCGCTGTTCAGCCCTGCATACTGCGAGCACTTTGCTACTAACACACAACCCAAAACCACTCTGTGGACAGCACACACGTCTACCTGGCCATGCCCGTGAGGTGACACTTCAGCCGTCAGCTGGAGGATTTTGCCGGACCTAGTCCCGTGAGAATCTTGTGTTTMTATGTCACTTGACAGGTGCAGGAAAGTACTGCTGGCTCCTCCTGGGACGCCGTAAAGGAGTGTCTGCCCTGATTCGCTGTTCACCAGGATGCAGTSGGATCCCCGTGAACAGCGGGACATCGCAGACGCAGCGCTCTCCTGCCGCCTCCACCGTCCTCTGCGCACACCCTTTGTGGCGCTTCGCACAGCCCCGGCCCGCGGCGCCCGCGATGCAGCCCCGT